GTAATGTAGCATTTGTGGAAAAACTGTTCTTGTATCTAGTTGTCTTGGAGTGCAGTGCCCTATAGCATCGTTTTGAGAGTAGGAGTTGAAACAGTTTACGTCCAGGATGCGAGGGGGTCTATAAATATTTTCACGGCTCTCTTTTTGATTTGTGCAGTGTGCAGGTCCTCAATGGAAGGCAGGTTGGCAGTCATTGTCTTTTCTGCAGTTCTGATTCTCCTCTGAAGTCTGTGTCTGTCTTGTTGGGTTGCAGAGCCAAACCAGACAGTTATGGAGGCGCAGATGACTGACTCAATAGGGAGGGAGGTAGTGGTCTGAAGGAATAATTTTGTGCTTCCAAAGACAATTCCTCTAATTTGAGTGGGTGGGATCTGAAGAATTCTTTGGTTCTAGGACAGTGTTGCAGAGTTTGCAAGTTACGCCCTAAAGTAGTCAACTTCATTCTCAAATCACTGAATTAAGCCAGCCTGTCAACAGCAAGTTGCAATTAGTGGAGAGACAAATGTTTGTTATCCCTTGTAAACATCAGTTGAAAAGATGACATGCAATTTTAGAAGCATTAAAATAAAGCAAATATTTGATACCTGCTGTAAATAAGAGCGGAAAACTTTATAAGGGTGACATTTTATACAATTTCAAAAGAACTGGGAAGGGAATTGAATATACTTCTGAATTGCTCAGAGGAAAATTCAGGATGGCTAATATTCCAGAATGAAACAATAAAAAGAGAGCAGAAGGAATGGGTGCGTCTCTTGTTTCTGGCTTTAAGAAGCCGCATCATAAAAGTGCCACAGAAATAAATGGGTTTTGTTCAGCTCCATTCTTCAGACAACACTCAAAATCCCAGACAGTAGAGTGTTTCTGGCAGAAAACTTAAACAAGTGGCCAACAAGAGAACAAAATGAAGGCAAGAACTTCAGCAGTATCAGTTTCTGTAGATGTTGTCATTGTTTTCTTTGAGTATTTTTGTAAATTCTTTGGCTAGAATAATCTGGGGACATTCAATTAGAAGGCAGCATAGATTGTGTTTGGTGCAGCCACACAGCATCTCATGGTTGAACATGGAAGACTGCATACATGCTGAGACCCCCATGTGGATGAGGGTCATTGGCCACAAAGGATGGACTTTATGAAGGATTCTCGCAGGGTTCGTGGCTCTTAAGTTTTGGGACAATGTCTAATTACTTTAGGTGGTAAATGTCTGCAAGGTAGGAGATGCTGCAAGCCACTTTGGAAGTGCTGGGGACCATTTTTCCTCAGATGTGCAATTTCTTGGAGTGGGACAGTCCTCACTTTAGCTTCTCCGCACGGCCGTCCTACCTGCCTGAGCTCGCATGGCACGTCTGCAGGCAATTTAGCCCGAAGCCTTTTTTTTTTCCTTTCAGAATTACTGCGTTCTAATAAATCATTTTAAAGAGGCCTGCGGTTTCTGGATTCTTTTCCGTTTTAAATTATTATTCCAGAGTTTGTTACAAAATGCCTTTTGAAAAATGTTTTCCCCCCTTAATGATGGCATATGGTGGCACTAGTGAGCTTCCTCAAATCCCAATAAAGATCTTTGTTTTTCTTGGATGAATTATTTGGGTGGTTTCTTGTTTTTTCTTCCCGTTCAGGAATTGCCACGGAAGGGATCTATCGCACCGTTGGGAGCAATATCCAAGTCCAGAAGCTCTTGAATGCCTTCTTTGGTAAGAAACAGGTCTTGATCAGAAGCTGCCCGAAAGGAATGGCCAGAGAGGAGAGGAACTGAGGCAGTGGTGGGTTCCTCTCCCCGTCACTACCGGTACACTCTGCATGGGGCCCTGGCATCCTGGCCGTGCATGTGTGTTGCACGCCCCTGCGCACTCCACCGCCCCTGCGACACTCAGCTGCTTGTTGGAGGTTGCACAGGCACCACACACTGTGCACGCTTGCGCCATTGGCCAGTTGCCTTAAAAGCAGGTCTGGAACTTGGGCAGGCAGGTGGGCCAAAAGAGCTACCGTACTGGTACGGTGGTCACTGTTCCCGGCTACTGCTGGTACACCCATACCGCCTGGAACCCACCACTGAACTGAGGAAACCCAACCGCCACTTTTCATTCTGAACGCTGCCTCAGCATTTCACTGCTTTCTCTCTCTTTTAGTTTGCTGATTAATCTCTGATCATCTTTTTCATGGGAATTAAATTAACATAATAGTTATAGTAGAATGGCTTTTATTTGCATGCTGCTTTCCAGATCATAGAAAACTGGACTCGGGGGAGGGAGGAGGAGGAAGGAAGGACAAACCTGGTGGTGTTTTACTGCAAATAGGCGCTTCTCAACCCCATCATTTGTTTAGTGACCGTTTGAAGTTGCAATGGCCCTGAAGAAAGTGACTCATGACTGGTCCTCACACATTTGACCGTTGCAGCAGCCTTAAAATCTAGGCGCCTGGCAATTGGCTTTTGTGTTTATGAGGGTGGTAGGGTCCCTGTGTGGGAGATGTAAGATCCAATTAATTTAATTCTCACAATACAGAAACAAGTCAAAGGCGGATGTTTGGCGGATGCTCCTATCACCAAATGGTGGCCTTGCCTCGGGTGTATGTTTCTGTTTTCAAAGGAAGTTAGTTTTTAGCAAGTCACCACCTACTGTTTTACTGAGCACATGTGGTGGTTAAGTTGCAACAGGAAGCACTTCATAGCTTATTGATACATTAAACACTTTTATAAAAGAGTAACTTATTATTTATTTCCTTCACCGGGGTCGCCACCTGCCACATTCCCAGCTGACTTGCGATCAGCACAATTAATGGGAAAAGCCGTATTCACTTAATGACTGCATGATTCATAGCAATTTGCTTAACAACCATGGCAAGCAGTCATAAAATTGGGCATGACTCACTTAACTATATCCTCGCATACGAATGAAAATTCTGGTCCCAGTTGTGGCTACCCGTGTGCCACTGGGGGCCATACAAGCTGAGGCGCTCCAGATGTTTTGGTCCACATCATCTGGCAACATTTGGGATGGTTTTTGAGGCATTGACAGGATCGGGCCCTTCAAGAGCTTCCTTTCCACCATTGTTCGATGGCGGGCGTTACTAGAAAGAGGTGCAGTCTAATGCCTCAATGTTTGCAGTTGGATGTAACATCTGCAGGACACATTTTGCCCCTTGAATAAGCTCACAAACTTGTGGAGAGGAACCAGTTTCAAGAGAAGAGAATAGGCAGAGCTCAGGGGTTGAACTGCGGAGCCCTTGGTTGCTTCCTGCAGATGTTTCGTTACCCGACTACATCATGATTTAACTTGCAGAGAGAGGGAGGGAGGGAAGGGAGAGATCTGCTACTCTGCCATCCCGCCTCCCTGCCCATGTTCAACCTTTCAATGCTTCCCCGGGAGAATTAGGATTTGCACAAAAGAGTGAGGATTCGTGTTTGCAGAAATGTATTGATTAGCTTTGAATTTTGCAGAAGCTGATGGAAAATCTGAAATATGTAAATCCAGACCTTCCAACTTTCCACTCATTTCAGCGATTGAGCTGCAATTGGGAACTATCCCCGTTACTTGCCAGTACAACCAGAACAATTTGCCAAATGAAAATAAATCCACAGGGCTTGGAGGTGGTTTTTTTTTTAGGTTGAATATGGAGATTTACAATCTGGGGCAAGAGAAGTAGAAACACAAGCCACAGAGAGGGAACAAAAACAGTTCGGGAGAGGAGAGTTTGGTAAAGATTAAATAGCTGGAAAATAGCTGATGGTTGATTGGACAAGTATATAAATGTGAAAAATTGCAGCTAGCAATCACAGCTGCTCAGGCTTGCAGGAAAGGGGGCCAGTGTTAGATTTCTGGGACCGAGGGGAAAGCTAGTAAAAATGATGAAAGGCCGCTGACAGTTGGGCAGGCAACAAAAACAGAAATACTGCCAGAGGAGTTAAAAAAGAAAAATGATAGATTTCCCTCCCTTGTTAAAAAAAGGAAGGGATGAAGATGAAGGAGAGAGTGGGAAGGTCAGGGCCAAGTCTCTACTCTGGTGGTGGGGGGGGGTTAGCAGCGATTAAAGTCATTAGTAAATTATAGGTCCCTTCATAAAGAAGAATGAATAACTTGAAGGCAGGTTCAGATGTAACAATGCCAAGAGAGGAAATGGAGGTACGTTTCAGGAAGAGCTTCAGAGACATTGCAAGTTCAGTCAATGAAAGGGTCACCAACCGGTAAAAGAACCACAGACAAATTAAACATTTTATGTGCCATTTGAATGTCTCCTTCCCTTAGGAAAGATAGAGATCTATTGGAAGGAGCCAGCATCCAGTGGGGACGTTTGGTTTCAGGCTCAAATCTCTTCTGCAGAAGAGGTCCCTGCATGGCCAGGATAGAAAGGGAGGGTGACCCGCCTCCCTGAGTGAGACTTGCAGCGGCTTCCATCCCTTTGGGTCAGTGGGAGGACAGGCTGGAGCAAGCATTCCTGTCTCCCCTAGAGGCAGCGCCAGTGAGAGGCTGGCCGGCTGGATTTTGGCTGGCGATTCTTCCCATCTCACTTGGGACTTACTGTATTTTTTAGAGTATAAGACGCACCTCCCCCCCCCATAAAAGAGCATGGAAATGTTGGTGCAACTTATACACCGAATACAGCCATTTTTGGCCTCCCGAAGCCCCGCACCCTCATCCCATTTTTGCAAAAAACTGTCTGTTTTTCACCAAAACAGAGGCTTTTTCTGCCTTCCCTCAGCCCCCAGCAGCTGTCTGCAGGCTTCAGCAGGGCTGGGGCCAGGCAAAAACGGGGGCGTTTTTGCCTTGTCCTAGCCCTGCTGAAGCTTGCAGAGGGCTTCTGGGGGCTGAGGGAAGGCAAACCCCTTTTTTTCTTACTTAACCCTTTGAAATCTTGGTCCGTCTTATACACCGGTGCGTCTTATAGTCTGAAAAATACGGTAATAAGATGGAGACCACATTTCTAGTGCTCTGCTTGCTTCACGGCATCCTTAGTTTCATTCATTCATTTTCCCTAGAACAGTGATGGCTAACCCTTTTGTTGTTGTGTGCCAAAAGCGTGTAACCCCCACCCCCTTGTGTGCTCCATCCCCCTGTGCATGCACCCCACCCCCGCACATGCATGGGCCCGCCCCCCTGCCTCTCATATTGGGCCTGGAAGGCCTCCTGCACCAACCTGGAAGCCAAAATGGGGCGTGGGGGTGCTGCACGAGGTCCCAAAATGCCCCCTTTCATGCGCCCCACACATACGTCCCACACATACGTGGCAGAAACCTGTGGCATGCGTGCGATAGGTTCACCATCACGGCCCTAGAACTTGTCAACATCATTTTAAATTTTATTTCAGTCATCTTAAGGCAGATAAAACATCTTGATCTCAGGACCCTTTTACATTTTTAAAAATGGCTGAGGACCCTAATGAGTTCTGGCTTATGTGGGTTATGTCTGTCAATCTTTCCTGTATTAGAAAATAAAACAGAGAAGTTTTAAAATATGCATTTATTTAACTTCATGGGCATCCTTTGAGAACTGCTGGTCTAGGGGGGCTACCTTTCTACCATGTTTTGTATCATTCAGTAAGGATGGAAAAAGGCAAATCTGATAAATGTCCGTTCAGTTTTATCCACCTGATCCATCAAAACGTCAAAGCAAATGGAGTCAATGCTTAAACTTTGTGGCCCTCATCCATGAACTGCCATTTTCATAATCTATGTATCCCCTTAATTAACAGGCTTAAACGATTTGCTAAAATCAGAAATAGGGTATTTTATAAGATGATTTTATTAGATGTCAAAATACACCTATAGCAAGGGTGTCAAACTCGATTTTATTGAGGGCTGCATCAGGATTGTGTTTAACCGGGGGGGGGGGGAGTAGTTTGACATCTTGTGTCGGGGGTATTTGTGGTTGTCCGAGTACTCTGCCAGCGAAAACTGGCTCCCGATCTCTGTTTTCAGCTGAAATGAGCTCCTGCAACCCTCTGCCAGCAAAAACAGAGCTCGGGAGGGCCATATGCGGCTCTCTCAAGCTCCGTTTCCTTTGGCAGAGGCACCATGGGCCGGTTTCCTCCAGGGGACTGTGGGAGGCCGTTTTCACCCTTCCCAGGCTCCAGGAAAGCCTCCAATGCCTGGGGAGTGCAAAAAATGGCCCCAAAAGGCCAACCAGAAGTTCAGAAACAAGGCAGTCCACAACCTGCGGCCACAACCTGCAGCCCATTTTTTGCTCTCCCCCAGGTTCCCAAGGCTTTCCTGAAGCCTGGGGAGGGTGAAAATGCCCTCCCCCTGCCCTCTGGAAGGCATGCGCATGCTGGAGCTGACAGCTCGTGTGCCGGCAGATATGGCTCTGTGTGCCGTCTGTGGCACGCATGCTATAGGTTCGTCATCACGGATCTATAGCATCCTTGGCAATTTATTGAGAAATAAATCAAATTAACGGGAAGAAGATGGGATGAGAATAGTTTCAGACAAATCCATAGTGGCTTCTGGAAAGCACTGCAGTGTTTTCAGTCATTGTTTGGCCTCCATCCTACTCTTGATTCTAGACTGACAGGTAGCCTTTAAGACGGGCTGCTTAGCAACTGCTGCCCCTGGGGTACCAGGGGCCTGTATCTGAGCTTCCGGGAACCCTCCAGCGTTTTAGCATTTACAGCCATTGGCTGCGTCCTGCAGTCACGTGACCCCATTTTGCAGCAGCTTTGCCAAGCACCCCAAGTGCAGTCACGTGATCTCGCGGTGGGGAAGGGACTACTGTCACAGCTTTGAATTGGGCGTAAGTACCCTTCAGGTGGGAACTTTGGCTGCAGGTTGTGGACTGCCTCAATAATGCTTTGGGATTTGCCTTCTGTATTGTTGATTTTATAAAAATGTTCCTCTATTTCCCTAAGGCTACCCTGTTTCCCTGAAAATAAGACCTCCCCAGATAATAAGCCCAATCAGGCTTTTGAGCGCATGCACTAAAATAATCCCTTCCCCCCAAAATAAGCCCCCCACAAAAATATTGCAACACAGGAGCAGCCATGAGGTTACCACGCTCGCTGCTTCCTGCACCTCAAAAATAGTAAGACCTCCCCGAAAATGCCAAGTACTTATTTTGGGGGTCAAAAGAAAATAAGACCCTGTCTTATTTTCAGGGAAACATGGCAAATGTTAAATATACATGCATGCATAATTAAGCTAACTTACCTTTTCCACTTATCTCTCCTTCTCAAGATCCTAAGTGCCCGGGGGATGTGGATTTCCAGAGCAATGACTGGGACATCAAGACTATTACTAGCTCCTTGAAGTTCTACCTGAGGTACTGCCAAAACTTGTTTGCGTCTACCAAATAACTGCCCGTGTTCCAGATCCTAGATGCATCTCATTGCCCAGGTGGACGATGCTCTCCTGATACTGCCTAGTTAGCCAGTGACCTCTGAATCCGCTGCTTTGCGCCAGAGTTGCCTAAAACCAGCAAATGGTGGCCTTCTGTTCACAATGCTGGTTACCCAGGCTTCCTGTAAGGAAGAAAGACTGTTGAGTGCCAGCAGCACAAGAGGAGAATAGAGGTGCAACTGCCGTTTGACAATTGTCCTTTGTAGAGGGTGGGGAAATAGCAATAGCATTTAGACCATCCCAAGGGGACACGGTGGCTCAGTGGCTAAGACGCTGAGCTTGTCAATCAAAAAGGTTGGCAGTTCGGCGCTTTGAATCCCTAGCGCCGCGTCATGGAGTGAGCTCCCGTTACTTGTCCCAGCTTCTGCCAATCTAGCAGTTCAAAAGCACATAAAAAATGCAAGTAGAAAAATAGGAACCACTTTGGTGGGAAGGTAACAGTGTTCTGTGTGCCTTCGGCATTTAGTCATGCCGGCCATATGACCACGGAGACGTCTTTGGACAGCGCTGGCTCTTCAGCTTTGAAACAGATGNTCTCCCACCTCTCTCACCCCCTCCCTCTCTCCCTCTCCTCTCCTGTCTATCCCACATTTTTATAATTTACTAAGAAGTTGGTTGGGATCTACTTTGTCAAATACCTTACTGAAATCCAAGTATACTTGTCAAAAGCATTTCGCTGCTCCACTAATTTTGTCAGTTTGTAAAAGAATGAAATAAGATTTGTTTGGCATGATGATCTGTTGTTGACAAACCCATGTTGGCTTCTGGTTATATCTTTGCTTACTTCTAGATGTTCATAGATCTATTTGTTTGATTATTTGTTCCAGGATCTTCCCAGGTATTGATGTCAGGAAGATTGGTCAGTAGTTTTCTGCATCTGTGGTGTTTCCCTCCTTTTTGAAGATTGGAACCAATCTTTTGAAGCAGGATTCCTTCCTTTGAAGGAATCACAATTGGCTTGGTTTTTCTCACTTAACATTAAGCAGTAAATCATGGTTAAGATCTTCATGGTCTGACTCCATGCAGCTGGCACATCCAAAACCAAGCAAATTACATGCAATTCTAGCTATTTTCCAACTGCCCACAGGACAGCTTTACAACACGTTTTCTGGAAAACTAAATTGCCCATCTGTTTAGCCAAGGTTTCTTTGAGAGGTTTCTTTTCCAACCTAGTTTCCTTTGGCTTTGCTTGTCTGTGTCTCTCCTGCTGGAAGGGGAGGGAAGTCCAGCCCTCATCTCTCACCCTCCAGGTTCTGTGATTGCTCAGCAATTAGTGGCTCTGATTTCTTTGGTGCAAGCTAGTTTTGGAGCCTGTGCAGGATTTCCATTGGGCACGCCTTCCTAATGCCTTGTGTTGCTCCTCTCTTGGTAAATGTTGCCAATTTTCAGTTGTACCGAGTGGCTGTGCTTTGCATCACATGGCTTTCTTGCTTTCATCAAGGTGGGGAGTAAGTGTGAGGCTGAAGGCACAAGGAATTATTCAGAAAACTTTACACTGTGCCCGATCCCAGCCTATTGCGATAAACATCTGCAATAGATAAGGTTGTTGTCATCCCAGCAAAACCCTGGAGAAGGTGCGGGAGCCTCTCTTTAGAAAAGTTAGTTTTAGAAAAACATTTTCTGTTCCAATAAAATCCGGAGCTGACTGCTTGCAGAGGAAACTGCTTTTGGCAGGTTGGACTTTCGTCTTGGAACCTTGGATGATGCTCTCCAGTTCCATCACATCTCTGTAGGGATCCTTTCACCCTTGGTCTCCTTGTTCCAAAACTGTTTGGCCAGTTCTTCTCTGAGCTGTTGGGTCCGGAGAGTCTCCTGGCAATTGAGCCCCTGAGTTGAGAAGCCAAGCTGGGGCATCCTGGAGAGTGGACATCTCAGGCGGGACTCTCCTTTGTCCCCCAGGTGAACCCAATCCAGTTCTTCTCTTTATTCTGGGATGTTCCTTTTCCCATCTCTCTTCTGTCATGTGTTCTGACCTAGGCTTCCTGATACAATAAAAAGCACACGATTAGATCCAAAACCCCTTTTGTTATTTCAAAGGCTGTGAATTATGTTCATTCACAGCCTGTAATGAGTCCCAAATACNGTTCTGTGTGCCTTCGGCATTTAGTCATGCCGGCCATATGACCACGGAGACGTCTTTGGACAGCGCTGGCTCTTCAGCTTTGAAACAGATGAACACCACCCCCTAAAGTCACACATGTGTGAGGAGAACCTTTATCTTTTACCTTACCACTCCATAGTGCTTTACAGCCGTCTCTGAGCTGTTTACAGTGTCCGCATATTGACCACAACAACCTGGCTCTTCATTTTGCCTATCTCAGAGGGATGGGAGAGTCAACCTTGAGCCAGTCAGGATCGCACTCCTGGCAGTGGGCAGATTTAGCCTGGAAGCTTTGTTTTCTGCCTCACTTCCTTTTTTTTTTTAAGACAGTGGAGCAAAATAAAATAAAATTTTAATAATCTACATTGGTGTGATTGGGACTGTGCCTTCATTGAATTTCCTGGATATATGGGTCTTAGATCTGCCCCTGTATGATCATTTTAGACTGGTCATCCCAGAAGACTATCGAAAACTAAAAGCCATAGAAACAAAGCTCTCAAGATAGGCGAGAGGTAGTTAAACCCACTATTCTCACCACGGCTAAGCACATCAGGGGACCCGTGCATCAGCACTTAGTCAAGTCAGTGGCTGCTGCCAGAGGCAGCCATCAGCAAAGAGCAACTGGCATGCATTGGGCATGTGATGGGAGCAGAATAGTGGAGTAGTGAAAACTTTGGCAAAATTGAAGGAACACAGGAAGTGCCGTGCTGTTAATAGCTTGGGAATGAGGCTGCATAAATTGGTACAAGATGGGCAAATTCACTCCCCTGTCATTTATCAAGCCAGTTTGATGCTTCTATCAAGTATTTCAACAGGATGGTGCTTTTTTTAAAAAAATACATAAGGCATCATTTCTGTTGTGGCCCGCCAGCGGCTAGCGGAGTTGACAGCAGAGTTGGACAGTGAGGAGGTTGGGGAGGAACATGGGCCAGTCCTGGGGTTTGAGGAAAGCTCAGACGAGAACTCTTCATCGGAGGCAGAGAGGGAGCTAGACAGCAGTGAGGCAGAAGAACAGCTGGAGCCTGTTCCCAGTATGCGCACCCACAGAGCTGCCAAAAGACAATAACAACTAAGAAAGCAGGGTCGACTTAGGAGTAAAGCCACACCGTGGAGGTGATTGGCCCCTCCCATAGGAAACAAAAGAGGAATGAACAGGGAGTGAGCTTTTGGAGGAAACCATTCATTCATTTGGTGGGTTCAAAAGTGGTAAGTTTTGTTTGTGACTTTTAAGAGACCGTGCGCCAAGTTTGCCTTGCCCTACGGAATTCACAGTCATGTAAATAAAAGAGGTTTTGTAGGGACCAAGCCTTTGCTTCTTGCTTTCTAAGGAAGCCTGGGTCAGAACAATTTCCTAGGCATCTTCCTAGGTACCCGATGAGCAATCTCAGTGCAACCAGTTGAGTCATAAAGTGTAACCTCCCCTCCCCCAGTACAGAATCCTTCACAGTGTTGAAGGCACTTGATTGTTGCTGATTTTGGCACTGTTGCTTCCTTCTCTTTTCAGGAACCTCTCTGAACCTGTCATGACATACAAGCTTCACAAAGAATTGGTCTTAGCTGCCAGTAAGTCTCCAAGAAGCGGGGTGGGGGGTGGGGAGGGGAACAGGAGGCTGTTTTGGAGGGTTTCCTGATGTTGTTGTTTGTTTTCCTGATGGTGTGAAAAAATACATTTCTGGAATGTGAGATCTTTGTCAGATGCTGTGAACAAATGCCATGCTGCTCCTCTCTTCAGTAACCCGGGGGGGGGGGGGGCGGACACACTTTGGCTCACAAAAAGCAGGAATAGCCGTTCCCGTTAACGGCTCTGCTTGCACCAAATGCCAAACCAGGATTTTCAAGCCACGGTCCATTAAAAAAAGCTAGAAGGTAGAAGTGGGTGCAAAGCTAAGTCATAATGGTTGGCTTTATGCATCACGTGGACCAAAATAAACATCGACTTTATGGCTTAATGTGATGCATAAACTTTCTGGTTGCTTTTTTTTTTCTGGTATAAGCACAAGTAGAATCTTTCCAATAAACAACAATTAACAGGGTCCTTTTGTTTTTTTGCATGGAGCACGTATGGCCCACCCCAGTGTAGCTATGGAGTTTTGTTGCCATTGATGCTACACAATGATGGGATTCAGCCAGTCGGCACCTATTCAGGAGAACCGGTTGTTAACTTTCTAAGCAGTTTGGAGAACCAGTGGTTGGAAGAAATCTCCTTTTGTTTCTTTCCACTTTACAAGGCTAATCCTAAGGAAGGCAGGAAGGAAACATTCTGGTTTTGTTTCTAGCCTGATCTTTATTACCCTGCTTACAGAAACTCTCCGGTTAACCCTGATTACATTGTAATAGCTAAGACAAAATGCCCATCGACCTGAGTTGGCCACGCCCACACGGTCACATCACCAGCAAGCCCCGCCTACCCAACTGGTCATTAGGGCAGAGAACCGGTTAAATTATTTGAATCCCACCACTGATGCTATATCACGGTTAAGTGTAAACCATGGTTTTTAGTGAGTTTCTATACGGGAACAACAGATTTGGTTTGAACTATAAGTAAACTAAGTGCTTAACCACAACTTACCATTAAAATAAATTGGCTTTCCTTTTCCTTTAGCTGTTTCTTTGTGTCTTGTTGGGTCTTGCCTCTCTTCAAAATGGTGCTCGAGGCAGTGACAAAAATGAAATGGAAACATATATAATAAAACCTTAAAATGCCAACATAAAATAGCAGTGTAAGTTAATTAGTGGTGAAATCCGTAAAAGCAGTGGGCAGTAGTCCGTTTCAGAATATTGATGAGAGAAGTAAAAGGCCAAAATTGGAAAGTGTCCAGNGTTTTTGCACTCTGCAGATCTCCCAAAAATGGCCCTGGTTTTTTTTTTTCCCTCCCAAAAAAAAAGGCCATGAATAGCCTTTAGGAGGCTTGTAGAGTGCTCTGGGGGGCGGCGGGGGGATGAGCAAAAAATGGCCCTTTTTTTTTTTCTTCAAAAAAAGGGCATGCATACCCTTTAGGAAGTTTATAGAGTACTCGGGGGGGGGGGGCAAAATTGAGCAAAAAACGGTCTCCCCAGCCCCCAGGAGCACTCTGAAAGCTTCCATAAGGCTATGTATGGCCATTTTGGTGAAGGGGACGGGGTTTCTGGAGGCAAAAAAATGCTGTATTCAGTGTATAAGATGCACCCAGATTTTCAGCCTCTTTTTTGAGGGAAAAAGGTGCGTCTTATACTCTGAAAAGTACGGTATATGGAAGAAATTAAATGGCTGAATTCATTTCCCCTGAACAACATCAAGTGCTGTTCTAAGATCCAGACAAGCCCTGCTGACTTGTTCTCTCCTGGGCCCTCTAGGTCAGCTGGGTCAGAGAAGAGCCTCCATCCTCTGTCAACTAGCCAGGGCAGCTGGGAAACCGGGCATCTGGCACTTCCCTGGTTCTGACTTTGCACCCTCTTCAGCTTGTAGGGGGCAGTTCCAAGTCCTCCTTCAAGGAGTTTCCCCCTGCCTGCTCTCTGTCTCTTCTGCCCTTCCCTTTGCTGAACCACTCTGTTTTCTCTCCTTCTCCCGACAGTGTGTGTGAACACAGCAGGGAGAATCTCATGTCCCCCTCCAACATGGGGGTGATCTTTGGCCCCACCCTCATGCGTGCACAAGAGGACACGGTTGCGGCGATGATGAATATTAAGTTCCAGAACATCGTGGTGGAGATTCTCATCGAGCACTTTAACAAGGTACAGGACAGCTTCTCAGGGATGCTTGCAGGGCCTCCCCAGAACATAAACAGAATTAAGAAAAAAGGCAAACAAAGCCTGGGAAACGTGGCTGAGCTAGCAGAGATGGCTCCAGAGCCAGAGGGGAGTCAACTGCATTTGGGGAAGGAAGGAAGAGGTGGCAAGCAGACCCAACTGGAAAGGAACTTGGGTGAAGCCATTGGCTTTCAAGACAAAGCGGCTGGAAGCAGAGGAGAAACTGGGGCACTCCTTTTGGGCAAGCAAGCTCAGCCTTGCTGGAATACCTACACAATGCATCTACCATCTTTTTTGGAGTATAGGACGCTCCAAAGTATAAGACGCACCTAGCTTTTGGGGAGGAAAACAAGGGGAAAAAATCTGCCTCTGCCTCCCAGCAATTTGCCTCCTTGCAACAAACAGCAAACTGTACAGATGGTATACACTGTTTGTGGTGTTACATTTCAGACTATACTTGTACAAATGCTGTTAAAATTTGATGTGCTTTCTGAAAGTATAGTTATTCCCTGTTATTTAAAAGAAGATACAATAGCACTGGGCCTCTTCAAA